TGATGGTCAACACGAAGGGTGTTTGAAGCTATGAATCTGAGACCAGTCAGCCTGGAGATGAGTTTTTTTCCGTCACGTCCAGTTGCTGGGGTGCAGGCTAGAGAGGACACAGGAGAGGGGTTTTACCAGATGAACAGGATGGGAGAGAGGTGCCAGGGAGTTGTTATAAGCAATGGACTGATTAGAATGATGTCCTGGAATCAAAACTGGGTAAGGAGGAAAGGGTAGATGTGATGAGAGGGGACACTGAACAGGAGGTAAGATCAGTGGGTGAGAGACAGGGCCAACTTATCTACAGGAGGCGCTGTGCAAAATCCTACAACTCCTTCAGGGACGTGCAAAATGTTTTAATTTTAATGTATTTTAAAACCAAAAGAAAAAATGGAAATAATAATAATACTGAATATACAGCAGGTACTGAAATAACATTATTTCATTTGACATCATTTCACTATAATGCTGATGAGTCAAAAAAAAAAAAATGACACCTTGGCCAGTGTTTTTCAGTGGTTGGAGCATCATCCCATACACCGAAAGGTTAAGGGCTTGATTCCAGATCAGGGCACATACCCAAGTCGTGAATTCAATCCCAGGTCAGTGCACATGCGGGAGGCAACCAATCGATGCTTCCCTCTCACACTGATGTCTCTCTCTCTCTCTCTCTCTCTCTCTCTCTCTCTCTCTCTCTCCATATATATATATATATATATATATATATATATATATATATATATATCCCTTCTTCTCTCTCTCTGGAATCCATGAAGATCTCTTCAGGTGAGAATTTATTTATTTAATTTATTGTTATTATTATTTTTAATCCTCACCTGAGGATATTTTTCCATTGATTTTTAGGGAGAATGGAAGAGAGAGGGAAAGACAGAGAGAAACATCAATGTGAGAGAAACACATCGATTGGTTGCCTCCTGCGAGCGCTCCGACCAGGGCCCAGGCTGGAGAGGAGCATACAACCGAGGCATGTGCCCTTGACCGGAATCGAACCCGGGACCATTTTGGTCCACAGGCCAACACTCTATCCACTGAGCCAAACTGGCTAGGGCTCCTCGGGTGAGAATTCAAGAAAAAGAAAATAAATAATTTCCTGGCCAGGGCCACTGTCTGTGTGGCCCTTGCATGTTCTCCCCATGTCTGCATGGGTTTTCTCCTGCGGACCCTGGTTTCCCACATTCCCAAACATGCACATGAGGGGAATTGAGTATCTACATCCCCCAGTCTGAGTGTGGGTGTGTGTGAGTGCGTCCTGAGATGGAAGGGCATCCTCTCCAGGGTCCCCACCTCATCCCCTGAGCTGCTGGGACTGGCTCCGGCCACCTGGGACCCTGAACTGGAATAAGTAGGTTGGAAAATAATCTTACTTGTTTTTATTAATTTTTCTTAAATGTATGTATTGCTAATATTTATGTCAGTGTTTAACATTAGAAGTGTTTTGGTTCTTTATTTCAAAGTTTAATGATGTTTTGTTTTGGTGCCCATAGGAACATTAAAAATATATTTTATTTTTATCATTTTAAAATTTTCAGTTACAGTTGACATACATGACTTACTAAGTGATTGTCCCAATAAATCGTGCATAGTTACATAGTTAGTAGAATATTATTGACTATATTTCCTATGCTGTATTTTACATCCCCATGACTATTCCATAATAACATCTGAAATTTGTTCTTAACCTCTTCACCTTTTTACCCATCCCCCAAACCCCCCTATGCCATCAGAACTTAACTCTTGTTTAGATCAATTTAGCTTATGGTAAAACTGGTTTCAACATAGGTATGTCATTTCACTTAAAGTCACAGTTTCCAAGAACCTACCGATAACATTAAGTGAGGACTTACTGTAGAATAATGCATCTTGCTTGGATTATACTTGTCTTTACACCAATGCAACCATAGAGTAGAGTCTTACTATTCTTTTGTGGCAGAAGAGGGCCATGAAGATGAAGTGCATAGGACCCACAAAAGTTGTAATGTAGCCCAGTGATCCTTGTGGATCCAAACTCAACATATGTTAAATGCATTTATAATGGCAAAAGCAAACACAACCTAAGTACACAGAATTGTTTGAGTCTAGGTACTAGAGGGCATAGGCTGAAAAGATACATGTTGGTAATAGGAAAGAGTGATTATAATAGGAAATTGGGATTATGGAGTGTGTGAAGAATTCGTAGTAAGCCCTCGCTGGCTTTGTACAGTGGATAGAGCGTCAGACTGTGCACTGAAGGGTCCCAGGTTCGATTCCAGTTAAGGGCACATGCCTGGGTTGTGGCCCTGACCCCCAGTAGGGGGCGTGCAGGAGGCAGCCGATCAATGGTTCTTTCTCATCATTGATGTTTCTATCTCTCTTTTCCTCTCCCTTCTTCTCTGAAATCAATAAAAATATATTTTAAAGAAAGAATTCGTAGTAACAAGGTTTGGCTGAGACAATCCCCCTCATTAGTGGAGAAGAAATCAAGGACATGGGAAGTTGGTTTTTTATCAGTTATCTATTGCCATATTAACAAACCACCTCGAAACTTGGTGGTTTAACCACCATTTATCTGCTCACTGTTTGGTAACATGGGCCGGCCTCAGCTGAGCATTTTGTTCGTCTTGCCAAGGCTTCATCATCTGGCTGTGGTCATCTGGAAGCTTATCTGGGGCTGGGTAGTGTGACCTCACATGTCTGGTAGTTGGTGGCCAGGGTACCTCAGTTCTTCTCCATTGGGCTCTTCATCTTCCAGTAGGCTACACTGGACTTCTTCCCATGATGTTGGAAGTATTCTGAGAGGGCAAAAGTGCAAGCTGCAAGGTCTCTTGAGGCCCAGACTCTAGGGACTCACACTGTATCATTTCTGCGGCATGCTTTTAGTCAAAGCAAGTCATTAAGCCAGCCCAGATTCAAGGGGTTGACAAACAGACTCCACGCCTTGCTGAGAGGACCAGCAAAATCATTGCAAAGGGTCATGTGGGAGAGGAGGAAGTGTAGTGGCCATCTTTGCATTTATTGGAAGAACTGTCTCTGTGGTACTGAATCATCGAAAATCTCCAAGAATTTGACAGAAGTGGGAGTGAAAAGAGTGAAACAACCCCGGTGCTAAAATTTTTACAGCATGAGGGAGAAGTAGTAAGTGATACAGTCCGATGCTATCAACTTCCCAAGTTTTAACCATCTTCACTGTCTCATCAGTGAATGTCAATGAATTTCATTAATGAGAAGGAACTGTTCATTTTCCACAACTTCTTTGATGCAGTCGCTCCCCAATTCAGAATCTGCCTTAAGGAAGGATCCCAAACCATGGAGAAAACCACATGCATGGAAACGTGTGGCGCTACTAGACACAGTCCCCAGGGCCCAGGACGATGTCCAGCACAAAGGAGTAGCACATAGGTGCTCAGAAATATTTGTTGAATGAATTTATAATAGCAAAAAAATAAACACAATTGTGTAAGGATCCAATGGTGAGAATCCCATCATGAGGGCTAAGTTAATATATCTCCTTAATGGACTATTATGCAACCATAAAAATTATGCTTTTAGGGACTATCAATACATTATGTGGAGTAAAAAAAAGTCAGGATACAATATTACAGGAACTGTGTGAAAACAGCTGGGTAGGAACAGAGGTAAAAAAAAACCCCAAAACCCACCACAACAGTGTTTTTTTATGCTAGTAGGATCATGGGTGATTTTTTTTCTTTTCACTTCATTCTAAAGCAGTGGTTCTCAACCTTCTGGCCTTTAAATATAGTTCCTCATGTTGTGACCCAACCGTAAAATTATTTTCGTTGCTACTTCATAACTGTAATGTTGCTACTGTTATGAATCGTCATGTAAATATCTGATATGCAGGATGGTCTTAGGCGACCCCTGTGAAAGGGTCGTTCGACCACCAAAGGGGTCGTGAACCACAGGTTGAGAACCGCTGTTCTAAAGGATCTATAGTGTTATTGCATTTCTTTCATAATAATAAAGTTGTACACGTTCATTGTGGAAAAGGGGGAAATGCAGAAAAGCATCTTTAAGAAAAGATAACCTATAATTCCATCATCCAGAACAAAAGTCACTGGTAATTGAGGAATGTTCGGTGTTGTCTCTCCCTGCTCGAAGTTAACATACTCTTAGCTTTTTTTTTTTTTTTACATCTTCAGGCTTCAAAAAGGTGACTTTTGATAGTCACATAATCTATTTGACCTACACTAATTGGACATCATAGATTGCAATTTTTCACTGAAAAACAAATTAAAATAAAATAAATGGTTAGAGCTATGGCATTACTCAAATTCAGAAAGCTCTTTAGGGAAGAGGAAGTGGCTAGAGAGATGAGGTGGGTGTGGCTGTTGCATTCAATGGAGACGGCAGGAAAAACTAGTCCAGGGGCTCCGTCCCTGATGGGCGTCCGTTGGAAGCTTCTGCAGGGGCTAGAGATTCCTCCCTCCGATCTATGGAGTTTAAAGATGGTGAAATCTTGACCTGGAGGCTTAGGTGGTGCTCCTAGCCTCTGCCCTCTTGCGCTGCGCAAGCAAGAGAACTGTTTCCTGTCCTCGCCTTGCACAGGTGTCTCTGAGCCATTAGCCTGGACAATAGTCCTCCCCTACTCCCCCCCGCCCCCAACTCTTCTAGTCAGAGCTCTGGGTTTGGACGATTAGCCTGAGCTCAAGAACGGATGTGATCCGGGTACAGGAGAATGAGCTGGGGTGGGGGTGGGTGGCGGGGGGCGCATTTACAGTGTCAGGGGCGTTCCCAGTCCAGAGGGGCGTCCCAGCAGCGGTCGTGGAAAGGAAGAGGGTGGTGGTGACAGAGGTGGGGTGGGGGATGGGGCTGATACTTAGGTAGGCATGGGTTGATCCTGGAAGGCTGTGCGCGGCAGCGAGGAGAGAAAGGAGCGGAGGGCGCGGAGGAGAGACGCAGCCATTTGAAGCAGGTGATGGAGGATTTACTAACGGAGGAGGCGTGGGCTTGATGACAGGAGGAGGGCGGGGAGCGCGCCGCGCCCTGAGCGTGTGTGGGATACATGTGAGAAGCGTGATGGGCCGCGGACTGGTGAGAACAGAGGTGGGGCGGGGGTGAGAAGCGCAGGTCAGCCAGGCTGCGATTCGCGGTGGGAGAATAATCGGGCTGCGCACATCTGGCCGGCACTTGCAGTCTCCTCTCATTTAGATTCCCATAATTTCCTCCTTTCGATGAGGAGGAAAGCCAGGTTCGGATAGGTTAGGTGGCAGCGGAGGGTGGGGGCCCAGGGGAGAGAGCGACAGCGGAGAAAGGGGCGAGCGCTGAGCTCCAGAAGAGGCGTGAGCTGCGCGCCGCAGGGGGGTGGGCGGCGGACGCCGGAGGATCGGGGGCGGGCCGGCGGCAGGCCGGGGAGTGGAGTGGGGAGGAGGGATCGGCCGGCACACGCCGCCCCTGGCAGGCGGCCCGAGCGCGCACGAGGAGCTGCCGCTGCCGCCGCCGCCGCCGCCGCCGCCGCCGCTCGGGATCGCCTTGAGCCCCAGATTCCCGAGCGCTCGGCTCTCATGGCAGCCGCCTCGGCCCCCGGCCCCGAGGCCCGCTAGGGGCGGCTCCGCGCCCCAGCTCGGCCCCACAGCGGAGCCCGTCGGATCCGGCCTCGCCTTGCGCCCGGAGCGCGCCGCCTCGCAGCCCGAGGTGAGGACGGCGAGGGCAGGGGCGCTCAGGGCGAGGGGCGCTCGGGGACTCCAGGCCCGGCGTCGCGGCCGAGCCGAACGCGGCTGAGACGGGAAGGGGGCAAGTCCTGGTTGAAGTCCGGAGTGGGGTCGGAGACTGCTCGCTGCTGGGAACCAGACCCCGCGTCCGCTCCGTGCTCAAGGCCTCCCCTCGGCGCGATCCCCATCCCCACGGGCTCCTCCGTTCTGCTGCGCCCCTAGCCCCGGCCCCTCCACGCTGCCCATCCTTTAGCTTCTTCCCACAGAGCCTGATTCCGGGCCGTGTCACCCATCCCCTCGCTGGCTCAACCCTTCCCCGCCCCGCTCGGCCGCTGCCTTCACCCCCTTCTTCTGTCCGGACTCCCCTCTCGCCCTCGGCTTCTATCGCTCAGAACCGCAATCCGTGCAGCTTATCTCCGCACCCGACCGCCTCCCAGCCTGTGCCGTCCCACAGGTGTCCGCACGTACGGCCTTCCATCCGTCCGTCCTTCCTGGGGCCGGCGCTGACCATGCCCAGCGGCTGCCGCTGCCTGCATCTCATGTGCCTGTTGTGCGTCCTGGGGGCACCGGTTCAGCATGCCGTAGGTGAGCGCACCCCGGACGCAGGTCGCGGCCCTCTCCCGACGTCCCCCGCTTGCACGTTGACCTCTGCCGGCCAGAGACGGCACTGCAGCCTCTCGGACCCGCGGGGTCGGTGAGACGCAAGTCATCCCTTGGACGAGTGTCTGTTCGGCCCTGCCCCAGAGCTGAGCCCACCCAATTACTGGGGCCCCGCACCCTCCCCAGCCCAGCATCTCAGGGAGCCCAACCCGGACCCGGGCTCACCCCTCCCACATCCATCTCTTGCAGCCGATGTCTGCAGCTCCCACTGTGACCTGACCCACGGCTGCTGTGCGCCTGACGGCTCCTGCAGGTACCTCTGAGCACGTGCTCCTAAACCCTTTGCTCCTCTCTTCCCAGCCCTTCACACCCATCACCAGGTCAAGCCCCAGGGCAGTGTGTCTAGGGGCTTAAGACCTTAAGACTCTACTGTTCCCTCCCCACCCGCCCACGGCACACAGGGCGAATTGGCCGGCCTCCCCCCACCCCCCTTTGCCTTGACTCTTCCTTCTTCCAGCTTATGCCCCCCGCTGTTTTACTCTCCCAAATCTGACCCGGGAATTCTGTAACATTCCTCCTGAAGACCAGGAGAAAGGCCTGGAGCTTGAGCGCGTCTGGAGAGCGGGAGCCTGGGGGAAGGGGAGACATAGGCGAGATATAGAGAGAATTGGTTTGGCCTGTAAAGAAAGGCTGCTGGGCGGGTTGCCGGGGAGAAGGCCTTATGGAAGGGGATCTTTCTTGATGAATTTGAGTAATTGACTCACTGGGGTGGGGGTGGGGCAAATCCAATAGCTGGAGGGGAATGTGTCTGGATGGACATGAGGAAGTGACTGTCAGGGCAAGCTGCTGGAGAAGCTGGGGGTGTTTTGGACTCAAGGATGGAAGGCTGTTTAAAAAAATAGGTCAGGCCCTGGCAGGGCGCTCAGTGGTTAGAGTGCAGGCCTGCCGGAGAGTCATGGGTTCAATTCCTACTCCAGGGCACATACCTGGGTTGCAGGTTTGATCCCTGGCCCCCATCGGATCCTGTGTGGGAGGAAACCAATCCATGTGTTTATGTCACATCAATGTTTCTCTCTCCCCCTCTCCCCTTCCTTCCACTCTCTCTAAAAGCCAATGGAAAAAATATCCTCACTCCTTGGGTGAGGATTAAAAAAAAAAACAGGTCAGGCTTTTGCCCTGGAATCAAGGGCACTCTTTAAAAAACAACACATGTTTCTGAGTCTCAGATATGCCAGGACTGATACTGGGAGTATTTACAATCATTGTAGCTTCTTCCTCAACACATCCCTGGAAAGTGCATTCCCAATTCACAGATCAGGAAACGAAGGCTCATAAGGATTAGACAAAGTGCAGAACCAAGACTTGAATGCTGGTGTCAGATGATCTGATGCCACATACGTGACCCTGCACAGCCCACACCTATCTCGGATGGGCCTGCTTCCCCTGGGGACTGTCATGTCTTCTTGTTTTCGAGATGCTCTGGTCTTGCCTCCACTTCCTCACATCCCCCACCCAGAGCCCTGACCCTGTGCTTCTCCCCATCAGGTGTGACCCAGGCTGGGAGGGGCCGCACTGTGAGCGCTGTGTGAGGATGCCTGGCTGCCAGCATGGTTCCTGCCACCAGCCCTGGCAGTGCATCTGTCATGGTGGCTGGGCGGGCAAGTTCTGTGACAAAGGTAGGGGAGTAGAGAGGGCGGCTGTTGGTCTGGAGACTCCATGTGTCTTGGGAGAACACCCACGCCTATTTATTGTGTCCAGCCCCCATACACAGCATTTGATCATTTTAGACTTCATACCTATCTGCTGTCTGAATTGGCCCTTAACCTAACCCCATGAGATAGGCAAGGCAGCTGTGGCAAATGGTACTCATTTTACAGATGAGCAAATTGACACTCATAGATGAGCTACAACTTGCTTGAAGTCACTGAGACAGATTGACATTGCCAGGGCTAGGAGCCTCCTGATTCCGAATTCAGTGTTGTTTCCCCACCATACATACCAGCTGGGGTGGGGGTGGGGGTTGCAGTATGAGCTGCACCCACAGAGCCTCAGATGGGGCCTGGGCAAGTCTGGGTGCCAGCTGTAAGGGGCTATTCCAGAACCTTCTCTGTCTCTATAGATGAGCACATCTGTACCACGCAGTCCCCCTGCCGGAATGGAGGCCAGTGCGTGTATGATGGGGGCGGCGAGTACCACTGTGTGTGCCTACCGGGCTTCCACGGACGGGACTGTGAGCGCAAGACTGGACCCTGTGAGCAGGCAGGGTGAGTACGGCCCCCTGGGGTGAGTTCAAGGTTAGGTGAGAACTGGTGATGGAAGGAGGCAGGACTGTTGGGAGGCTGGTGATGAAGTAACAGGGCTGAAGGTCAGAAGCCCCACTGGGGGCACCGGAGGATAAAACCCCAGCTTGCCAGTGTCTGTAGTTCCGGGTTTCTCAGCATTTTTAAACCATCTGGGCCATTTCTTCAGCAAAAATCTACAGGGACTGGAGATGTAACAGATTAATGTGTAATTGCTCTGGCTGTTTTTTGGGGGGGGGGCAGGGGGAGGGGTTGAAGACCTAGGACTCTCCTCATCCTCCCAGGAACGCTGCCCCTGTGGCCCCTAAATATGTTCTAACAGCAGCCTTAGCCTCATGTGTGCGTGAGGAAATGGGCCTGTAGGGCAGGGCCTGCCCTCATTTCTGTGTCAGGCCTAAGCGCCTACCAAGGTAATAACACACTCGCCTTGAGCCTTGCCTCTGGGCCAGGCCCCATGCTAACTGCTTGACGTTGGGTTACCTCATTTAACCCTCACAATGTGGAAGCTGGATGCTACTTCCATTTCCGTTTTTAAAAGGAGATATTGTAGGCTTGGAATGTGACTCAAGGTGACATTGCTGGGAGGGGGGTGGGCGGCAGTGGTCAGGATGCTGACCTAGGCTACCCTGCAGGTGTGAGTCCGTATCAAAGCCCTCTCCCACCTCCACCCCAGCTCCCCGTGCCAGAATGGCGGCCAGTGCCAGGACGACCAGGGCTTTGCCCTCAACTTCACGTGCCGCTGCTTGGCAGGCTTTGTGGGTGCCCACTGTGAGGTGAATGTGGACGACTGTCTGATGCGGCCTTGTGCTAACGGCGCCACCTGTCTGGATGGCATAAACCGCTTCTCCTGCCTCTGCCCTGAGGGCTTTGCTGGACGCTTTTGCACCATCAACCTGGATGACTGTGCCAGCCGCCCATGCCAGAGAGGGGCCCGCTGTCGGGACCGGGTCCATGACTTCGACTGTCTCTGTCCCAGCGGCTATGGCGGCAAGACTTGTGAGCTCGTCTTACCTGGCCCAGCCCCTGCCACCACGGCAGACATGCCCTTGGGGCCCACCTCGGCTATGGTGGTGCCTGCCACGGGGCCTGTCCCCCACAGCGCAGGGGCTGGTCTGCTGCGCATCTCAGTGAAGGAGGTGGTGCGTAGGCAAGAGGCCAGGCTGGGTGAGTCTAGCCTGGTGGCCGTGGTGGTGTTCGGGGCCCTCACTGCCACCCTGGTCCTGTCCACGGTGTTGCTGACCCTGAGGGCCTGGCGCCGGGGTGTCTGTCCCCCTGGACCCTGTTGCTACTCTGCACCGCACTACGCCCCCGCACGCCAGGACCAAGAATGTCAGGTCAGCATGCTGCCTGCAGGGCTCCCCCTGCCACCTGACCTGCCCCCTGAGCCTGGAAAGACCACGGCACTGTGATGGCGGTGGGGCTTTTGTGCCGCCTCCACCTCCTCTGTCCTTCAGACTGGAATGGTCCTCACTTGCCACCCCTCAGCGGCTTCACACAAGAAATATTATTTTTTTAACACACAGAATGTAAGATGGGAATCTTATTCAATAAAACTATGAAGTCATAAGTGGACTCCTTTTCCAGAAAAACCTGCCTGGCATCACTGACGAGGGCGGAGCAGAGGCCTGTTTCTGGGGAACCCTTGGGGCTTTGCCTGAAGCCTGGTTCTCAGAGAGGAACCCATGACACCTCCCCCGGGAGAGTGCCAGTGAGGTAGAGCCATGGAGGAGAATGTAAACAAACAGCTCTGCAGCCGCCCAGCAGAGGGCGACAGGGGCCACCCAGGGGGTGGGGTCCTCACGGGGAGGAGTGCGCTCCCTGCTGGCTGCTCTGCAGCAGCTGCTGGAACAGGGAGTGAGGCTGGTTGCGCAGGACGGCAGGGGAGTCCAGCTCCACGACCCTCCCAGCTTGCAGCACCAGCACCCGATCAGAGTTCAGGATGGTGTTGAGCCTGTGTGAGAGGAGCTGGTCAGTGGAGGATGGAGGGCAGTGCCGTAAAGCAGCGGTCGCCAACTGGTGGTCCGTGAGGTCCGAAAGGTTGGCGACCGGTGCCCTAAAGCAGGAAGCTGACCCACATTCCCTCTCCTCCCCTAGACAGCACAGTTCTGCCCCAGGCTTTACCCCGGCTCTGTGCTGGGGACCACAGATGCCTTCAGACAATGTGCTATGAGCATGAGGAGCTGAGGTTCATGGAAGTTTGGACTCTCTAGGGCTCTAGCCCCTGGCGTCCCTGACACTATGTCCCCTGATTGGAGGCTCATGCCGGATGCTTGCACACCTGTGGGCAATGGTTAGCACTGTCTTGTTGGCGAAGCGTTTGCAGATGGTCTGCTGGAGCAGCTGGTCTGTTTTCTGGTCTACACTTGCCGTGGCCTCATCAATGCACAGGATCTGGACCATGTGAAGGGGTGGGCAGGAGGACAGAGAAGAGGGTTAGCCTTGGCTCCTGCCCAAGCACCAGCCCCCACCTTCTGGCGGGGCCCAGCCCACAGCTCCCCACCTCCAGCTCTAAAAGAAAAACTAACCTGGTCCTCTGAGACTTCTCCCTACTCACTCCCTCACCCCTCACATGCCCCTGCCTCTTCCCGGCCCTCTCGAATGTCTCCTCCTCTCACCTTACCTTGGCATCTGTGAGGAGAGCCCTGGCCAGACACAGCAGCTGCCTCTGCCCCAGTGATAAGCTCCGGCCCCCCTCGCCCAGCTCACCATCCAGACCACCTGCAAGGCACAGCATCTTCACCCCTGGGTCCTAGGTCTCTCTCTGCCCCCTCCCTGCTCCCTCCTCTTCCACCCTGCAGGCTCGGGCCTGGAACTCACCCATGGACCCGATCACCTCACTCAGGTGGCACTGCTCCAGAGCCTGCCACAGGGCCCTGTCCTCATACAGGCCCCGGGGGTCCAGGTTCTCCCGAACAGTCCCACTGAACAAAAAGGGCTCCTGGGGGATGATAGCCAGCTGGGACCTGGGGGACAAGGAGGGACATGGGTCTAGACTGGAGATGTGGTCACTTCTGCGCCCAGCACAGGTTTTAGCTATAGGTCTACCTACGCCTCCAGAGAAGCTTGGGGAGGAGCCCTGAACATAACCCTCACTCAGCTCCCCCGCTGCTCAGCGTGTTCCCAGAACTGTGCAGGTGCCATGAGGGACACGAGAGAAACCAAAGGCCCACACTCTGTCCTAAAGGAGCTTCCATCTCACTAAGCTACAAAACAAGAGTGGGGTAGCAGTATACCACTGACTCCAGCAGTCACTGCGACAGCCGTGGTGGCGCGGAATGAGTAGAGAGTCTGAATGGCAGGGAGGGGATGCGTCAAGATTGGAGGGCCTGGAATTGGGTCCTGAGGAGCCATATGGTGGAGCTGTCATGAAAGGCCACCACCACAAGTTAGAAGAGAAGGCAGGAAAGGCAGGGCCAGGGCCTGGGATCAATAATAGGCTTTGGAACAGAGCTCCCCTACCTTTTCCACATCAGAGAAAATGACACTAGGCTAACCTGGGGCTGGTGGGGGGAGTTGTTTAGCACCAGATGTGGCCTCTTGTTGCCAGGGGCAACTGGCCCAGGTCTCCAGTGCCCTGAGCATCACCTGCCAAGCCTGAGGGCCGAGAGGATGACTATCTTGGGCACAGCACCGGGAGGCTCTGATTCAGGACGCAGTGACCATTGACCTAGAGTGCAAGGTGTATACTGGGAAGTACAAGAAAGACGAAGCTGGAAAGGTGGGCCTGCGTCAGATTAAAGTCCTGAGACCACAGCTACATCCCTGGACCTGAGGACAGCGAGCACTGGGAGCTTGCCATCCTTGCCTGCTGTCCTAGCTGCCTTCTCCCCACAATCGGCCCTGCTGCCCCGAGTCTATGGAAAGCCTCTCGGCTAGGCTTCCTCTATGTGCCGGTAGTCTGGTTCTCCTCTCCTCGCTCCCTCAGACCTGAGCTCGGCCAGCGCCAGCTGGTTGGTGTCCACTCCGTCCAGGAGCACTCGCCCCGAGCTGGGTTCCAGCAGCCGGAAGAGCACGGACAGCAGGGACGACTTTCCAGAGCCCGTGCGGCCCACGATGCCCAGCTTCTCTCCGGGCTGCACGCAGAAGGTCACCCCATCCAGGGCATTTGGCAGCCCTGGCCGGTACACCAACACCACATCCTGGAACTCCACGCGCCCCTGCGTCAGCCAGCCGGTGCCTAGCTGGTGGGGTTCGTGGGTGGGAGGTGGAGGAGATGGGTGAGACGGGGAGACATGGGGAGAAGGGGGGTCGGAGAGTGGAAGGAGGGGGAATGAGAAATGGATGGCGTGAGAGGGAAGGTGGGGGAAATGCGGACACGTGAAGGAGAGAGGGGAGAACAGACACAAGATGAGGGACACAGTGAAGGAAGGGGAGATCGTGCGGGGACATTGGAGGAGCTGAGAAAGAAAAGGAACCTGGGGAATGACTGGGGCCACTGGGAGCGTCCTTCAGGGTTCCAGTGCCCAGGTCTGGGCACAGGTGCAGGCCTACCTGCCCCGGCTGGCCCTGGGGCTCCTGGGGTAGGTCGCAGGAGTACTCCTCCAGCCGCTCGACGCTCACCAGCATGGTTTCTGTCTGCGTGAAGCTGCTCACCAGCCCCGAGAGCAGCCCCGTCAGGGACAGGGCATACGACAGAGACAGGCCCACCAGTCCTGGCAGGAGAGGAACACCAGGCACTAGGGGAGGCTTGGTGAGGAGGACTGAGGCCGAACGGGAGAATCTCAAGCTACGGACTGCGGGCATTGAAAGGAGGCCGCAGAGAAGCAGGAAGATGCCAGCAGCAGACCCAGGGCCACAGGACGCTAGATGCCAGGCAGTGGAGTGGGTCCACAGAGGCTCTGAGGGAGGACGGGGGGCCTGGCAGAGTGCTGGGGATGGGGGGAGCAGGGCAGGGGCAGAGATCAGAAGACTGGTTCTAGTACCAGATCCAGCATCACCTGGGAAAGTCACTTCTTGAGACTCAGTGTCCTCAACTCTAAAATAAGGGGCAGGAGAATTAGGACACATACTCACAGGGACCCTGAGTGGCAGGTGAAAATGCTGGGGGGCAGTGCAGGGAGAGGGAAGGCGGGGGAAATGGGGCAGGGGATGGGAGTCGCATGCTTCTGAGGTGAGTGAAGGCTCCCGGGTGGTACCTGGGTTGGCGAGGCCCTGCTGGTGCTGCACCAGGGCGATGCCTGCGATGGCACTGACCACTGCGGCCCCCATGAGCTGTAGCCGAATGTCCAGCCACTGCATGGTGGCACTGGAAGCAAACTGGCACCTCTGGTTTAGCTCCAGGAGCCTCTGGTTCTTCTCCTCAAACCTGGGGGAGGTCGGGGGGGGGGGGGAGCAAGGCCACCCACTGTTGCAATCACTTGCCCAGACTCCCCCACAGAACGCCTTCTTCTTGGAGCTGATCAGCACCCCCACAGGCCTCCCTGAGGGTACGGAGGGGTCAGCGCGTTCTGTCACAGGGGTCTGCTCTGTCCCACCATCCCTTTCTTCTGTCTCTTTCCTCTTTCCCTTAGTGCCTTCACCCATCCTTCCCTTCTCAGGAGACCTGACGCCACTCTCTCCCATGTGCTTTTCTTCTTAAGGGGGATCCTCTGCCCCCTTACCCAGCACCTCACACCCTTGCTCTGGTTGGGAGAGGCAGACTCCACACACCTGTCAGTGGCCCCGCAGGCCCGGAGCACTGGGAGGCCGGCCAAGGTGTCGGCCAGGTGGGTGTAGAGTGGAGACAGGGTGAGGCTGCCCAGACGCCGCAGCTCCCGCGAGGAAGCCCTGTAGTGGCGCTGCACGCGATAGTAGATGATGCTCAGAGGCGGCAGCAGCAGCAGCAGCCAGGGCAGGCCGGCGCCCAGCACAGCCAGGAGGCCCAGCAGGCCTGCCGCGTTGGCCAGGAGGATGTTGAGGATGAAGGGCAGGCTGTCGTCCACACAGGCCACGTCAGAGGAGAAGCGGTTTAGGACCCGGCCCATAGGCGTGGAGTCGAAGAAGGTGATGGGTGCCTGGGAGAAGGGATGTGGTTGGGCAAGGGCAGGGTCTGGCACAAAAGGGGTTGGGGGCCACCCTGGGGGTGGTGGGGTGCGGAAGGTCCAAGGTAGAGAATTGGAAGGAAGTAAAGTGTCTCCAGAGTTTGGGAGCAGAAAGGAGGAACAGGTGAGGCCAGGAGGAAGACTATCGCAGGGTAGGAAGGATAGAGACTGTCCCTCTGGCCAGTGGTGACCCTGAAAGGCCCTGCTGGCCACTCTTCTACCCCTGTGCTAGACATGCCTACGTCCCTCTCCAGAATGTGGGGCTTCAGGCCAGTGAGTGAGCTTCAGTTAGATGTCAGGAGGGACATCCTGATCGCCAGGGCTGGACAGAGCGGTGAGGGCAGGTGTCCAAGTCAGTACTGTCTCCTGGTAGCATTCAGGCTCTGGAGTCAGACTGCGGCTGGGATTCCAGCTCTGCCACTTAGATGTGAAACCCCTCAATCTCTTAAAGGCCCCTGTTCCTCATTTCAAAGACGGGGATAATAGCCCAGCCGGGTCGCTCAGTTGCTTAGAGCATTATCTAGATACACCAAGGATGTCCTAGCCA